CAGCCAGAGAGTGGTGAATCTATGGAATTCACTGCCACAGAAGGCTGTGGAGGCCAGGTCATTATGTATATTTAAGACAGAGATATCTAAATTCTTGATTGTTAGGGGGATCAAAAGTTATGGGGAGAAGGCGACAGAATGGGGTTGAGAAACTTATCAATCATGATTGAATGGTGGAGCAGACACTATGGGCTGAATGGCCTAGTCTGCTTCCGTGTCTTCTGGTCTTGTGGACCCTGATCAGTCAGGACATTAAAATGAGAAATGAACCAGTGAATGTGAGTCTCTGATAGTCCTCAGGCTCAGTTGTAGTTCAATTTGATCCACTTCATGCTGAGCTCCTTTTCCAAATCACTCCAGTTATGAATTCCAACAAGCCCCCTGCAACTTCTAGCATTATGAATGAACATCGAGAGCCCTCCCATGCCCCTAGCCCTGCACTGGGAGGCCCAGGTTCAAGTCCCTCTTGCAGAGGTGTGTAATAATACCTCTGAGCAAGTTGATTAGAAAAATGGTCTGAATGAACATCTCCCACTTAATTTACATTCAAAACATTTAGTCCTTTCATTTTCACCTCTACCCTCAGCACTTTCCGTCTCTGCCTGAAGGGGACTTCCCAGCCATTCCCTGTGTTCCTTCTTTATCCTTCCCTTGACTCACCCACCTTCCATCCTTCTTGGTTTATGGGAGTGATGGCAAAAAGGGTTAATTCCAATGTCAGCTCCACTAACTATGCCTCTGGTTTCAAATATGAGGGTCTGATTCCTGGAGGAAGTGAATCTTGAAATTATTCAAAGAGTATAATTTCCTTGAGAGCCATTTTACCCTTAATTCCCATACCCAATGGTGAAAAATACTTCACTGTTCCCTTTCACTTTCACTTTAGGTCTGCACAGACTGGACCCTTATGTTTCTAACCTTTGCCTCTATGTCTCAGAAGCTGACTCATACAAACGAAGATCCAGCTGATTTTACTGCATCATCATCCATAGCAACCCTGAAATCTGAAAGTGATGCATAAACCTCATGAGCTCTACCTGTCAGCATGATCTATCCCAACAGTGTCCAGTTTTCTTCCGACCACTTCGTTTGTTTTGCTACTTTTTCAAATGAAATAAAGAATGCCTCCACGTCCTTTTCTTCATAATTTGCACGCATGTAAAAATGTAAGATAACAAGGTGGAATTATATACTAGATAATACCATTAGGCCATCACCTCCCCTATTGGACTAAATTACTGTTGGGCAATGCCCAGCTATCCACGGAACATACTGCATGATACAATCCACCAATCATTGGGATGTACAATCTATATAAGTGGCACCACACCCACACTGAAACTCATAGACCACAATATTCGTTATATAGCAGGCAGATTGTCTTTTTGACCTGACAGGTGGCAAATGCCACTTGAATAGTGATAGGATAATAGCAGCTTGAAACAGCTGGCTTCAATTGTGGTCCAAACATTTCAGATCCTTCCTCCATCTGTGCACTTTTCAGTTCCAAGACTGACTCTGTTAGGACCTTTCATGTGTTTATATGCCATATAATGCCCTGATTATGTCCCTTTATAACCATTATCCCACAGGATGGTTTTGATGTGCCTGGCTTCAATTTACACAGTGAACTGCTTGGGCCCTATTGATGAAGTTTCCCATCAGTTCTCCCCTCATTTGGTGTCCGTATTGGTTTTCCTCTTGCAGTTTTATTCTTGTCAGTTGTCCAGAAGCTTTCACAAAATATATCTTTTCTGAGCACTACTCAAAGATAGAGATGAAACACCAACCACCACAAGAGAAAACACTCTCTCTGGACCTATTCTATCAAAAAAGACCAAATCTTTGATCTGTTTCTGTAGTAAATGGGACCAGGTGGACCTCATTGACCACAAGGTTCTTGATTGGGTTGTTAACCTGGGCCAATCAAGAAAGCCCTGACTGACCAATAGAACCAGGAGATTAGAATCTCCTTTGTTGAGAACTGACTCCAAGCTGGCCTTCAAATTGGTGTCATCTGTAATTTCGGTAATTGTATTTTTGACGGCAAAGTCCATGTAAATTATAGTGAGCTGATATTCCAGCATCAAGATTTCTGAAACATCACACCCCACCTTTGGCTTTTTACTCCACTCCACCCACTTTGGCTTGAAGCCATTAGCAATCATTCTTGTCTTTTGTCCACTGACACTACATTCTCACCTTTAAAAGGCTAAATTAAATGATAAAACTAATATTGACCGCTCTATTGTGTCTCAAAAATTTCAAACAAACACGATCAAGCAAAACTTTCCCTTTGACTTTCCTAATTCAAAGCTTTGCTCAGTGACGCCCAGTTTGGGTTCCGCCAGGGCCACTCAGCTCCTGACCTCATTACAGCCTTGGTTCAAACACGGACAAAAGAGCTGAATTCCAGAGGTGAGGGGAGAGTGACAGCTCTTGATATCAAGGCTGCATTCGACTGAGTGTGGCATCAAGGAGCCCTAGCAAAACTGGAATCAATGGGTATCGGGGTGCAAACTCCCCGCTGGTTGGATTCATACGTGACACATAGGAAGATGGTCGTGGTTGTGGAAGGTCAATCATCTCGGCTCCAGGACATCTCTGCAGGAGTTCCTCAGGGTAGTGTCCTAGACCCAACCATCTTCAGCTGCTTCATCAATGACCTTCCCTCCATCATAAGGTCAGAAGTGGGGATGTTCGCCGATGATTGCACAATGTTCAGCACCGTTTGTGACTCCTCAGATACTGAAGCAGTCGATGTTCAAATGCAACAAGATCTGGACAATATCCAGGCTTGTTCTGACAAGTGGCAAATAACATTTACGCCACAAAATTCCAGTTAATGACCAGCTCCAATAAGAGATAATTTAGCCACCGCCCCTTGACATTCAATGGTGTTACCATCACTGAATCCCCCACTATCAACATCCTGGGGGTTACCATTGACCACAAACTCAACTGGGCTCACCACATACACATTGTCTACAAGAGCAGGTCAGAGGGCAGGAATACTGCAGCAAGTAACTCCCCTCCTGACTCCCCAAAGCCTGTCCACCATCTACAAGGATCAAGTCGGGAGTGTGATGGAATACTCCCCACTTGCCTGGATGAGTGCAGCCCCAACAACACTCAAGAAGCTTGACACCATCCAGGACACAACAGCCTGTTTGGTTGGCACCACATCCACAAACATCCATTCCCCCCACCACCGACGCTCAGTAGCAGCAGTGTGTACCATCTACAAGATGCACTGCAGAAATTCACCAAAAAATCCTGCAACAGCACCTTCCAAACCCATGACCACTTCCATCTAGAAGGACAAAGGCAGCAGATACATGGGAAAACCCGCATTGCAAGCTCCCCCCCAAGCCTCTCACCATCCTGACTTGGAAATATATCCTCCAGTGTCACTAGGTCAAAATCCTGGAATTCCCTCCCTAAGGGACATTGTGGGTCAACCCACAGCACATGGACTGCAGCGGTTCAAGAAGGCAGCTCACCCCCACCTTCTCAAGGGGTAACTAGGGATAAACAATAAAGACTGGGCCCAGCCAGTGACACCCATTTCCAATGAGTGAATGAACAGAAATTGAATGGCTGGAGATGTGTGACACAGTTCTACTGTGTTTCAAAATCAGAATCAAAATCAAAATCAATTTAATGCACTGAAACCACAAGGTGACCCATTACCAGCCACTAACGATCACTATTAGCAGCTATTCAATCCCCAACGCTGACCTTTAGGCACATCTTTCTCTGTCCAACTGTTTTTCCCTCTCTCTCTCTGCGCTCCAACTCCACCTATTATTTACTCTTCCACCATCCCCACACCACCTTTACCATATACACCAACCTTTCCTAGCTACTATCAGTTCTGGAGAAGGGTCACTGGACCCAAAACTTTAACTCTGATTTCTCTCCACAGATGCTGCCAGACCTGCTGAGGTTTTCCAGCAATTTCTGTTTTTGTTTCTGATTTCCAGCATTGGCAGTTCTTTGTGTGTTTTTCTGGTGTGTTTGAAGTTTGAGACTGTGTGGATGAGAGTACTTGCTCACTACACCGTGTATAGAGAAAGAATGTGAATTCGGAGTGTGTTCCTTCCTTTGACAATGATTACATTTTATTCAGCTCACAGCTTTCCTCATCCAAGGAGCTGTTACCCTTAAGGTTCCACAATACTTCATTGCCTTAGCCAATTCCCATATTAAAGACCATGGGGTGTGAAGGTGTCAGTGCGATTAGATTGCTTTTGGAAACAATTTGAACTTTTGCTCTGAAATATTCCACAAATTCATTTCTTACTTTGAGTTGCTTGATGTGTAGATTTGTTTGAAATGCTTCAGTGGATGAGGGTATCACTGGGAGAGCCAGTATTTATTTATTGTCCTGTCCCTAGTTGCCCTTGAGAAGGTGGCAGAAAGCTGCTTTTACAATTTTCTAAACACCTTGTTCAACAATGTCCTTACATGCTGCTGAATCCAGGCCTCCTGGGAGCTGCCTTCATAAACCACTGCTCTATGTGCTGTAGGTACAACCACAAGGCTGTGACAGAGGGGCAGGAGCACTTACACTAACACAGTGCACTGGCCTGCTCCAGATAGCACTGCTCTGAGCTCTCTCCGAGACGGACAGAGATTCCCCTTCGGGCCTGGTTGCTGCTATCCATGTCCTGAAAACGGGAAGATCCCACTCTGGGAGTTTGGGATTGATGTCTGAGTTCAGATTTTCAGTTCTGAAAGTAGACTCTGCTTCCTGTCTGCCTGGCATTCACATCTCCGAATGGGGGGGGAATCAATGAATGTACTGGAAGTGAAGATGACCCAGTGAGATTGCTTTGACTGTTCACTAAAAGAGCTTTCCAGGGGATGGTGTACTGAATGAGTTGTGATTCACAGCTCACACTGGGGCTCTAGGCTTTTTCATTGTAGCTTGTTCAGTGATATTCAAATGGTTAATCAGTTTCGGCTATGTTTGAGAAATTCCACAGTCCTGCTTG